CCAGTAATTTTTTATAGGGGAAGAAATGACTCAAAATTTTGAGTCATTTCTCTCCTTGATGATGATTACATTTGATATAATTTCACAAACAAAAATATTGCACCAGTATGCAATCTTTATGCACTTACATGCACCACAAATAAAACTTTTTGCACCTTCTCCCTTTAGTAGTTCAAGCAAATTTTTTACAGTGAATTTAACCCCTCCAATGTTGTTTCCGCGAGAAAATATTGTACCGACATGCACTCCTGATACACTCATAATCACCACTAATAAATAATTTTGCACACCTCCCTTTAATACGTAGTTACAGCACTTCCAATGCATGCGCTGTATTTACTACTAATAAAACTTTTTGCATCCCCTACCTTAAGTAGTTACAGCAAAATTAGGGCCCCAATAATGTTTTCCCAAAAAAAATTTGCACCAATATGCATTCTCGATGCATTCATTCATATGCACCAGAAATTAAACTTTAATGCTTAGTTACATCAATTTATTTACAGCAAAGTTAGTCCACCCAATGATATTTTGGCAAAAAAATAAACATTGCACCGGTTTGCACACATATCCACTACCAATAAAAAATTGCACACCCTCCCTTAAGTAGTTACAACCGTTTCTATACTTTGGAGTTTACTCAACCCAATGATATTTGCACAAAAATAAACTATTGCACTAAAATGGTCATTTTTAGCCCAAAATAAATGTCGGCCACTTCGTATATGGATGCACGTTTAAGTGTATTTATATTATTTTAGATTGCATCTCTGAATTTCAAACCAGATATAAATGTTTACATCAAATAATTATATACATCCAAAATGAGCAGAACTTTATTAGTTGTTAGGCCTAGGTAACCTTCACTATTTTTCCTCTTTAGGAAACAAGATGCATTAGAATGTGTATTTATGAAACATTCTATCCCCCTTCTCACTTCAGTTTTTAGTTAGTTCACAAGAAATCGCGATTCCTTGATATCTACACTCTGAGTGAAATATGTGTAAGAAATATTTTTACTGTTCTAGATAAGACAAGAGATAATCAAAAGTAGAAAACTTGTTGCTGAAATAAAGCAGATAGTCAAAATCGACAATTTTTTATTTGTTTGACGTGGGCATGGATGTTTAACAAATTTCTTTCAATTTTTTATTAAATTTTGTCTCGTTTTCGTCCTTTATTTTAAACGTATCTATGATTATCGTAATAGCAAACTTTTTGGTTATACTCGGATAGGTACTGGATGCTAATAAACGTTGGATATATTATTCAATATTACGCACTGTAAGCTATGACACAAATAAAAGGTGTATTCCATTTTAAAACGAGATTGACATTTTTTAACGCTTGCGTAACTGCTGATGGCTAAGCTAAAATTCTAGATCTTATATTTTTTCTCCTGGCTTCAACAATTTGTAGCCGAAAAACATGCAATAACTGATAATATTCGATTTTAATTTTACCTTCAAGTTAGTCTTGACAAAGAAACTCAAGATTCCTATTTAGTTTCTCTTCTATTTTATTTGAAATCTTTCTTGTTCTTTTAATGAATATAAGAAACCGTGTAACAATGAGACCAAGTCCACATTAATATCTCTTACATGTATAAAGCGATTTGGATCAAATTTCGAGCTTCCACTTTTACCGGAAATGTTATTACGTTTGATTTTGTAAACGGATCTTATGTATTGTATATTTTTTTGGAGTCTAAGGTTCAAATTACACAATTTTTCCCAAACATCTTTTTTCTGTTCAAAGCCATTAACTGGAAAATAATGTTTTAATAGTTAAAACTAAATCCTTTAGATAAAAAATAAATTTCTAAAAGGTACCTATTCAGGGCCATTTCGTGTTTGGATGAAATATTTTATTAACTATCTGACAATAAGCACCATGCACCAAGATTATTTTCCAGTTCATTATCATATATATATATATATATATATATATATATATATATATATATATATATATATATATATATATATATATATATATATATATATATATATTTTTATTATGTATTTAAAAAAATTTAAATTTGGCATCACTGTCATATATAATTTCACCTGCAGATTCCACAAAAACATAAAAATTCAAAATTGGTGTTTTTTCGGTATAACGAAGTGAGCTAGTTTGTTTAAGTGTAATATAGTCAAGTTTGATCAAAATGGCTTGATAAATAATAAATGGACATTAACTGGGCCCTAGTTTCATCATGTGTCTCAGTATATGATTTTTGAAACGCATTTTTCACATATTTTATTATAATTCGAGGGCAACAAAACAAATTTTTGAAAATTTATTTACCTTTTGGTTTTGTAACTCAATTTATTTCAACTCAACTTTACGATTCAAATATATAACTGATAACATAACGTCTATCATAAAACTGAAACTCTTACGTCAGGATCATCGACTTATATAGCTCGCTTTAACCTTCTAGAATCTTCTTGAACTGTCCAGAGTTTTCTTGACGTAGAATGACATTTCTAGACGTTTCTAGAAATAAATACTTAGATTGAACTTTTAAACAATTCCTTATTATGGGATGATGTAGTAATATAATAGTGCCTTCTTAAATTCAAATTATGTACATCAAATTTGCAATTAGAAAGTTTAAACTTCATGTATGCTTTTTTTTCTCGTTTTATGACAGCTGGGGTATAGTTCCTTAATTCTTTATAGTACTCCCAATGTGCTGGATATTTCGATTTTTTAAATTTTTTTAATGCTTTGTCTCTAAGTTTTTGTTATCGGTTATCCAGGGTTGATTTTTGAACTTTACCTTTGATTGCATAGTTTTTAGAAGAACATGTTGGTCAACGAAGTTTAATATATTAGTATTTTCTCATCTATATTTTCAATGTGATAAATTTGATCCCAATCATGTCTTTCTAAATCTCTGTTAAAATCATTTTTCTACGCTAATGTCAGTAAAAGTAATAATCGCACTGTCAATATTCCTTGTGTGACATTTAACAATAACATGAACGTAATGAGATCTCATAACATACACGTGCGTTTTGATAAGAAAACTTAAATTTCTTAGTTTAATTAAATTGCAATTAAATTTTTATCTATGTTCGACTTTATTTGGTCTATTTAAATAAAGGACCCGGCACTTTTTACATTTATTTTGGGTACTGACAGAATTTGTTCAAATATTAGTATGTTATTTTTCAGATCATTAACGGCAACTTTCTTATGGACTTCAAGTTTGCAGTTCTACAGGGTGAGCTGTTAGAAGGAGTCAAAAGTATGGAGTGCAGAATTAATATTTTCATATATATATTTACCACTCTTGAGCTATTCATGTTTTTCCATAAAACTTATGGCACGTCCTACAATTGTATATAGTTTGTCAATGCTTACTTGAACTTTGTAAAATAAATTATACAGTGTTTAAAAAATTAGGAATATTAGTTACTGAAATAAGGTACATTTTTCAACTATAGCTAAAATAAGACTTCTGGCCATTTTTTTGTTTAATATTACACTGGATAATACAGGGTGTGACAGAACTACATAAAAAACTAATAATTCTAAGAAACACATTTTGCGAAAAAATTTGGTATACCTACCTAAAATATTCTAGAAAGAATCTTAAAGCGAAATTAATTTTGCTTGTAATATAATTTCTATAACTAACCAAATCCCGTTCTACGTCTTCTTTAATTTCGAAACATTACTACTAACCCTCACTTGAATAAATGATTCAGAAGACATATTCTAATTAAAGAGTAATTCTTGATTCTTATATACATTGCATATGTCAGTCTATCACTTTTTTCTATTTTTGTAGATTTAGTTAAAATAAAAACAACTAAAAAATCTTTTACAATTCTCGCAGTAGTAATTTATTAAAAACTTCCTGTTTTAAATACTGATGATATTTAACTCTGGCTAATTCTTATTGTTTAGCTATTCCACACCCCTGTACCTGCATACTTTTCTTATACTATGGAATATTAAATAGGCATAATCAGAATTGCAAAAGGATTCTATAAGCTAAAAACGTTGGCAAGCGTTAGATTTATTAGCAACTAATTTATTATGATAGGGTTAACATTCAGCGATGGAACCTTTGCAATAATTTCAGACTATGTTCTATTTTACATTGTATATTTCATTCTTCTGTTTTAAGGTATGTTATTAGAAACAATTTTAAAAGTTTGTTAGGAATATTTTGATAATATAGGTATTTTATATTTTGTAAAAAAACTTTCTATGTGAAGTGCCTTCCCTTTTTTGCAAATAGACTGAAATTGCTATGAAACAATTGCATTGCATTGACAAGTATAATGTATAGTCACAGAATATTATTGTTGTTATTAAGATTAATAGTTGGTTTTAATAATCAGAAAAATGGTTCGATGTTTTATTTGCAACACACCTCATTTGGTTCATTTTTTTTATAGAAGATGAAAATAATACTGTACATAATACACAAAAAGGAGATATAATAGCAGTTTTGCATAGATCAAGCTTTGGATTTCCTGAAATGCCATTACCACCTAATACAAAACGTTGTTTTCACTGCGATTCGAGAATATATTCAGTTTGTCAATTAGAAAAAGATCCAAGAGCAATAGGCCCCATTGAACTACTTGCTTATAAATATCCAAACAAATATTTTAAATGTAGAAAAATAAATCGAGATAGATTAACAAAATGCCTTGTCGAGTTTTTGCGCCACTGGTACAATGTATTTTAACCCTCATATTATTCCGGATCACGCTTTTCTTATGCAAGATGGAGAACTAACTCATGCACACAAATTAGATAAAGATTTATCTGTCGATGAAAGGGCTTATTCACCGCAGCCGGGTCCATCTGGGTTGAAAAAGTTACAAAAAAACCTCCTGGGAAACAAGTTCTAAATATTAAATGAAATTTCTCCAGTGCCAGTGGTTACCCCAGCTATTAAGAAAGCTCGACGTGGTATTTTATCCTCTGAAGAAGGCATTAAGCAAACTGTTAAATCTAAAAATGTAAAAATGAACGAAAAATCAAAGAAAAAGAAAAAAGTCGTGTCCTCTTCAGAATCAGAAGAAAATCCCCAATTAAACGATTCTGAAGAAGATTTAGAAAATGAATGTGTAGGTTGCGGTGAAGATTACAGAAAAACAGATAAAAAGGAAGATTGGATGCCATGCTTGTGGTATGAATGTAGCTAAGAAAAAACAAGATGTTGAGGTGGTCCATCTATCCTCCGATTTGGAGGAGGGTCGGTCCAATGTAATGTTTTATTATTTTTGTTACCATGTTCTTTAAAATAGTCGTTATAACCAAATTTTACTTTAGGTTTAAAGTATTAGCATTACTTTATATTTTACCAATTTTGTTAGGTTTATATGTATATGCTTTAATAAAGTTTTAGTTGTGATATTTCTAAAATGTGGTCCATCTGTCACACCCTGTATTATTAATAAATATTATCTATTATTTAATATAACAAATAAACGATCAAAAATAATTTTCTAATTATGATAATACATGAAAATGCACCTTATTCTACTATTCCTAATTTTTTTAACGCTCTGTATGTTTTATTTTACAAAGTGTTAGTAGGCATTAACGAACTATTTATAAGTGTAAGAGGTACCATAAGTTTCATGGAAATAACATGAATTACTTAAGAGTAGTAGAAGATATATATGAAAATATTAATTCTGTGTTTCATACTTTTGGCTCCTTCTAAAAGCTCGCCCTGTAGAGCTACAAACTTGAGGTCCATAAGAAAGTTGCCGTTAATGACCTGAAAAATAACATACTAAAATTTGAACATTCTATCAGTACCCAAAATCAATGTAAAAAAAGCGGGGTCCTTTAGTCAATTGAAAAATATAAAAACTTTTAGAATTAGCGTAATACATTTTGGATTAAAACCTCAGAGTAGTGCAGAGATAACAGTAAACAATGTTTTTGTCGCCTTGATAATATGGTCGAGAATCGCATCCAAAATTCTAATTAGAGAGAAATAGATTAATATCTCTATCTCTATATTTCTTTTTCCAGTTATCTTTAAACAATTATTTAAGTTTTTACTGAAATTCGTTTAAGTATGGTGGTGTTAAAAGAGACTTTGGTTTGTAGGGTTTATTTTATACTAGGAAAAAACTTGTGTTTTATATAGTTTCAAATATAAAAGAGGAAGTGAGGTTACGTTTCACTCGTTAATATTATTTCTTACCAAAGAACATGGGCGTCGTTTTAGGAGAAAAAAGGAAAATAAAATGAATATTAAAAAAAAAGCAGCATATAAATTGCAAGATAAATATAAAAAGATAAATATCCTTTTTTAGTTCGTAATTAGTTTTCGCGTTATTTTGTTGATTATTTGTTTGTGTATTTACAAGAAATAAATAGTTTCCACCCACACTCGTGTTACATTTGGTGTCAGGTGTGGGGTGAGGATTTTTAAGATGTGTACAAAGAAGATAAACCAGTTGTTGGTCGCAGAACTCAGAAGAGAGTTAGAAGAATTGGATCTAGATACAGCGGGTTGCAAGGCGGTATTGCTGGCAAGATTGAGGAAATATTATGAAAGCCAAGGTGTTGATCCTGACACTGTGGAATTTGAAGATCCCTCGATGAAAACCATGACCCTGATCCGAGACGAAATCTCGCTTAAGGTGTCCAGTCTGTCCACCGAGATTTTTAGCCTGTCCACTGAGATGTCCAGCCAGCGCAACGAAATCTTTCGCAAGATGTCAAACCTCTCTGACGAACTCTCCGAGAAGATGTCCATCGAGATGTCCAGCCAGCGAGAAGAAATCTCCCAGAAGATGACCAACCTCTTCGATGATCTTTCCCAGAAGGTGTCTGGCCTGTCCATTGAGATATCCAGCCTGTCCACGGAGATGTTCAGCCAGCGTAATGAAATGTCCCAGAAGATGAACAGTCTGTCCACGAATATGTCTCAACAAGAAGAAAGAATATCCGGCATCGAAGGTGAGATCCAAAAGCTGCAGGATATCGTCTCCCATCCTCCAGGGCCCATATGCAGAGACAGAGAACCCAATCCACTGGTAGAGCGGTTAGAAAACAGCTTGTCGACCCTCGAAATCAAGTTGCAGACAATAGAGGAACGATTCTCCCGTCAGACTTTAAGTGGTGCAGAGCGCCAAGAATTTAACGGAGCAGGTGAGGCCAGAGCACGAATGAAGCCACCAACTTTTGATGGCAAAACTTCCTGGCCCAACTATTTTAAACAGTTCAACGCTGCGGCCAGTGCTAATGTATGGTCCTCCAAAGAGAAAGCGGTGGCTCTAACAGTTGCCTTACGAGGTGATGCTCTTGATGTCATGCAGACCCTCCATTCCGACGAGTCCGAAAACTTCGACCAACTGGTGAAACGCCTGGAGATGAGGTATGGGCAAGCACATCTAGAGCAAGTCTACCAGTCTCGGCTCGCGAGAATAGTGCGCTTTGCCTATCCATCAGCCAATGAAAGCATTTTGGAATGCCTAGCTGTCCAGGCATTCATCGACGGCTTAAGTGACCAAGAGTTGCAGAGAGCGCTACGCTTAGCCCGTCCCAAAGTCCTGGTGGATGCATTGTCAATGGCATTGGAGTTTGAAGCAGCAACTGAAGCGTCCCGTGCCCACGCCCGAGTCAGAGCCGTCACCAGCCAGTCCAGAGAAGAGGTGCGTCAAGAGGAGCCGAACCAAGAAACTCTACAAGAGCTGGTGAACCTAGTGAAGACAATGGCGTCGAGAAGAAGGAGACCCGTACGATGTTGGAACTGCGGTGAACTTGGACACGTTAGAAACGCCATGCCAACGTCGCGCGAAAGCATTCCAAGATGATCCCGAACAGCAGGAAAACTAGAACGGGTCGAATCCAAGAGGGCGACATCGACCCCAAGCATCCTGCAAGACCCTCTACTCGTCCTGACTTCAGTGAGACACCGACCCAACAGCATCTTCGTAGATGGTACAGTAGACGGTAAGAGGTATTCAATGTTGGTGGATACCGGAGCAACAAAAACCATCATTCGCCGAAGGGTTGTCAAGAAAAAGAAGTTGTCGCCCTCCAGATGGCGACTACGAACCGCTACAGGGGAAGCAGCAAAGGTTCACGGCGAGGTAGACGTAAGAATTATGTTCGGCTCTACCCAGGTTTTGCACCCAGCCTTAGTAGCCGACATTGAAGAAGACGTCATCCTAGGAATGGACATCATGGATTCCTATGGCTTCCAACTAGATCTGAAACATCGAGTTATCCACGTCGGTTCCGAGGAATTAATTTTGCATCAGCGCGAAACAGTCATCGCAGAGGTGATGCTAGCTGAAGATGTCGAACTGCCAGCAAGGTGTGAGTCCATAGTCGAAGCTCGTCTAAATGGGGCCATAGAAAACTCGACTGCAGCTATGGTTGAGCCGAGAAATAATGACCAGGAGCTGGGAAGGGGCATTCTTGTTGGTAAGACACTGATCCAATCCGCTTCAAGTGTGCCAGTTCGTCTGATCAACCTGAACGACCGTCCAGTTACCCTCAGGAAAGGCACTCAAGTAGGAACCTTCGAACCGATAACCGAAGTCATCCACCGGACGACCTCTAAGGAAGAGCGGAACTCGGACAAGCTCAGTCAGATTCTAGTCACCGTCCCTCCATCCCTGTCCCGGCAACAAAGAAAGAAAGTGAGAGACCTAGTTAACCGTTACCATTCCATTCTTGGTTCATCAGATGACAAACCAGGAAGAACCAGTGTGGTAAAACATAAGATCGACACTGGGGATGCTCGTCCTATCCGTCAGGCTGCTCGACGACTTCCCCAGGTGAAGAAGGCAGAAGCAGAAACAACTCTTCAAGCAATGATAAAAGACGGAGTAGTAGAACCTTCAAACAGCCCTTGGGTCTCTGCAATAGTTCTTGTGAAAAAGAAAGATGGTTCAACAAGGTTCTGCGTTGACTACCGCAAACTCAACGAAGTCACTAAGAAGGACAGTTATCCGCTGCCAAGAATCGACGACGCACTTGACGCACTCGCAGGTTCCAAGTTGTTTTCCACTCTGGATCTAAAGAGTGGTTACTGGCAGGTGGAAATGGATCCTGCCGACAAGGAGAAGACGGCTTTCACAAGTGGAACAGGCCTGTGGCAGTTTACAGTACTTCCGTTTGGTCTTTGTAATGCTCCAGCCACTTTTGAACGACTGATGGAGAACATTCTCAGAGGTTTGTCCTGGGAAATCTGCCTCGTGTATTTGGATGACGTCATCATTCTGGGGCGAACATTTGACGAGCATTTGACGAATCTCGAAGAGGTTTTTAAGAGACTTCAAACAGCCAATCTGACATTGAACGTGAAGAAGTGTCATCTCTTCCAGACTAAGGTCAGCTATCTAGGGCATGTAGTCAGCGGGGAAGGTATAGCTGTAGACCCAGACAAGATCCACGTAGTCCAGGAATGGCCAACCCCTTCCGACAAACATCAACTACGGAGCTTCCTGGGGCTCTGTTCCTATTATCGCCGCTACGTGAAGATGTTTGGGGACATCGCCAAACCGCTAACACGAATGACTGAGGAAGCTAGAAGATTTAGCTGGGATGAAGAATGCCAAGTTGCCTTTGACACTTTGAAGAATCAGTTGACTTCAGCTCCGATCCTGGGCTATCCACTTTCTGAAGGAAAGTTCATTCTCGACACCGACGCCAGCAATGTGGGAATTGGTGCCGTTCTTTCCCAGCTTCAGGATGGCCAAGAAAGGGTTGTTGGTTACTTTAGTAAGACATTATCTAAACCTGAACGTAACTACTGTGTTACCAGACGAGAGCTCCTGGCAGTTGTTAGATCTGTGAAGCATTTTTACAAGTACCTGTATGGAAGAAAATTCTTGATTCGAACCGACCATGCCAGTTTGAAGTGGCTACTAAATTTTAAGAATCCTGAGGGTCAAGTCGCAAGGTGGTTAGAAAAACTTCAAGAATTTGACTTCCAGATCGAACACCGCCCCGGTACAAGTCACCGTAATGCCGATGCACTCTCAAGAAGACCATGTCAAGCGAATTGCTCCCATTGTAGTCGCATGGAGGAGAAAGATGCCAGCCTGCACCAGGTCAAAGTCGTCAGTGAAGAATGGACTCAAGGGAGAAT